CCCTCCTCTCATGTATTTTATATCCTTACAACCTACCTCTTGTGTTATTATATATAAAAGGATCCTTCAAACATATCATATTTAGAGTATGTTTAATTTTCACTAATGGTATTGTGGCACGGCTGCATTTATCAGACAATTCTTCCTGTGACTCAAGGAAGCACCTGTCTCTCTGAAACATCCTCCTGTTTGGTCCTAGCTTTGCCCCTGTGGAACTAAACAGAAAAATTCTACACTCTCTCCCAGCATGTGAATACAATCACTGTGGCCCCTCTTCTTCAGGCTCAACCTACCCCCTCTCCTTTACTTTCCCTCCTGGGATGTGGGAGTTTCCTGGTCCTCTGCAGGGTGATCTCACTAGAACCAACCACCCCCGCATCTGGATGTTGCACTTCTCTGCACCTAAGCAGTCACCTCTGGTGTGGCTGGAACGCCTGGGAGAGGAACCTGAGAGGCGGCATGACTGAGCCACAGGGCAAGACTGTGTAATGACTAAGGTTGAACAGGAAATGTGGACTTGACTGCTGTAGGCTAGCAAGCCTGTCCCTTTCACCTTTCTTCCTGGTCATCAGGACAGGGGAACTGTAAGCCTTGCTGATATGGGGGTACCTTCAGGCAGGGGATCTCTGCCGTCACTCTGCATTGGGTTCTTTGAGCTCAGTACTAGAACTCTCATACTCAGAAAGATGGTGGATTCACTCCTTCCTTTGACTTGGATGGAAATTTCCTCAGAATGGATGGAAAGGGTTGTAAACCATGTGCCTGTCTTCCATGCTGAGTGAGCCCAGCCTGGGGAGCTGAGGGCCCTTATATGCTCACATCAAATAACCTGCCCTCTTCATCCTCTGTCCCATCTATATGAGCACATAATGGAGACCAATATTATACTTTTCTTTTTTATTGAGGTGAAACATAACATAAACCATTTTAAAGTGTGCAGCTCAAAACTGGGCACGGTGTCTCACACCTGTAATCCCAGCACTTTGGGAGGCCGAGCTGGGTGGATCACCTGAGGTCAGGAGTTCAAGACCAGCCTGGGCAACATGGTGAAACTCTGTCTCTACCAAAAATACAAAATTTAACTGGGTGTGGTGGCACGTGCCTGTAATCCCAGCTACTTGGGAGGCTAAGGCACAAAAATAACTTGAACCCGGGAGGCAGAGGTTGCAGTGAGCTGAGATGGTGCCACTGCACTCCAGCCTGGGCAACAGTGTGAGACTCTGTCTCCAAAATAAATAGATTAAATAAAGTGCACAATTCAGTAGCATTTGGTCCATTCACAATGTGTGCAACCACAACTCTGTCTAGTTCCAAAACATTTGCATCTCAAAAGGAAACCTCATACCCACTAACCAGTTACCCGCCTTCTCCCTTCCCCTCTGCATCTGGTCACCAGAGACAATCCATGTTTTGTCTCTATGTATGTATCTATTCTATAGATAAGACCTAGAGATGTCATATCTATGGGATCATTCCCTGTGACCTTTTGTGCATGGTTCTTTCACCGAGCGTGTTTTCAGGATTCATCCAGTTGGAACATGTCAGTATTGAATTCCTTCCTATGGCTGAGTCATATTCCAGGGTATGTACATACTGGAGTTTGTTTATCCATTCATCCCTTAGAGGACATCTGGGCTGTGTCCACCCTTTGGCTGTTGTGCATGATGCTGCTGTGAACATTCGTGTACATGTACTTGTTTGATGCCTGTTTTTAATCCTTTTGCTCATATACCTTAGGAGTAGAATTGCAGAGTCATATGGTAATTTTGTGTCTAACTTTTTGAGGAACTGCCAAACTATACATTTCTTTTTTAAATAGCAACCTTTCTCTGGTACTTTTCCTGTACATAAAAAGAGAAAAATGGATGGAAAATCCCTGGACTAGGAGTCAAGAAACCTGGGTTCTTTTTCTAGCTTTGCCACTAACCAGCTGGGTAAACTCAAACCAGTCACTTCCCTTCTCTGGGCTTTTGTTTCTTCATCTGAAAAGAAAGGGGACTGTATGAAACTCGTGTTCTTTAAATTCTTTTCGTCTTGTAAGATTTTGTTGGAAAAACTGGGTTCCAGAGAGGAAAGGGGGAGAGAATTGCTACACAGCTAAATGTGGTTATCTTGAGATTCTTTTTCCACTCTGTTGTTAAATAGTGAATTCAAAATGTCCCGTACAATTGGGCTTTTTTTCTTGCCAATGTGTATCTGTTTTAATGAATAGCTTCTGGCTTCCTAGTTCTATCAAGATTCCCAGAATAAAATATCCTTCTCTTTCCCTTCACTTCCTACTGCTTGGCAGCTCCTAAACCAAACACGCTGGTCATGGAGCCCTGACGGGCGCCATCCCCGCCGCCCCTGCTGCGCCTTCCCCTAGCGCAGGTTCCCTCAGCACTAAGGGTTCAGCTGCCTAATCTAAGTCTGGCCTTTGGAGATGTATAAGCCAAGGAGAGGCATTAGTGGATTCTTTCTACGACAGTATAAGGACCATCTTAGAGAGTTGGGAGGATGAACCAAAGACCTCCTATGATGCCTTCTAGCCAGAGGATCCCTCCTTGGGAGATTTTCTACTTTCTCAACCCTCCTTCAGCTTGTTGGTTTCCTCTCCAGAAAGCACCGTCTGTGTAGAGACGGATTTTTTTCTTCCACTAATGAGTAGCCTTCACAGTATGCTACCCAGGTCCACAGCATGTGCTCTCCTGCGCCGCCTGGTGGTTTTCTGGGGAAACGTGAGGTTTTAAAAAGCACATGATGGTCCAAATGGCTTCTTATTTCATCGATTTAATCATTCGTTCATTTTTTCACTCATCCATAGATCCATCCATCTCACGGTTTCGAAGATCTGCTATGTTTTAGGTACTATGATCGATTCTAAGATTAGAACAGTAAACAAGACAGAGTACCTTCCCTTATAAAGAAGCTTTCATTTTCTTAGGGGAGATAGACAAGTGGCTTTTGGAATGAATACAAAGTGAAATGTGCCATAATGGGGGAAGTAAAGTGTGTGCAGGAGCACAGATGAAGGACACATATGTCACACCTGGAAAATACTAACGAGAGAGGGCAGACACAGAGTGTTCTAGACAGAGCTTCATGGTGCAAAAGTCAGTAAGCAAGACCAAGCATGAGGTACTGAGGGAGCTGGTAGAAGAGCAGTCTTGGCTGGAACACAGGATGCAAGGGAGGGATGAACAGTGAGCTAGCAGAGGGGGCACATTATGCAGGACCTCTGAACCATGTCAAGGACACTACCTTTAACTCCCAAGCAGCAGTGAGCTATTGAGAGTTACACTAGGGGAGTAGCACATTTCTGTTTGCCTTTAGAAATAACAGCTTTGGTTATGAGTAGAGAGTAAATCAGAGGGGCATATCACACTGCCTCCCATAACTGTGTACAATTATATGTGTCAATTAAAAATAATAAAGTAAAACACAAACCACAGCGGGGGGAAGTGGATGTGGAGAGACCACTTAGGAAGCTGTTGCAGTAACTCTGGCATGAAATGTTGGTGATCAAAACCAAGGTGGTGGCAGTGGGAAAGGAAACAAGTGGATGGAGTCCAGAAATATACACAGTTGAGGGTTGGTGCTGGGCCCAGCTTCCAGGATAGAAACTGCAAAAATGTGAATAAGAATCCTTTAGTTTGCCCCATATCCTGGCACAGGGGAAGTCCCTTGTCCTATTGCAATAATCAGTGACCTGCTTTCTGCTGCAGGTCTCTAGAAGGATGGCCTTGTTTGCCAGGATCTCTCGCCCTCCCAGAGAGCAAGCACTGGAGTCCTGTTCTTATCTTCTGCACCCTCAGTCAGGGTGGATGGGAGATGGTGCATGTGCACAATTGAGAGTGGGCTTCAATTTGCTGCCAAATAAAATAGGAGCAGGAGAATGATGTGTCCATCTGATAGGTAGCTATGAATCTAGGAAAACTGGAGGAATTCTGGAGAAGCCACCTCCTGCCTTCCTCTTTGACTTGGCATCACAGTAGAATAGCCAACTGGACCAATTTTTTAAAGTGTATGTTTCAGAACCTCAGGTAATCTTAAGCACTGTATTTGAGTCTCAGCTGTAGGCCATTCTTGCTCTTCTCTTTCTAGAGGAGGAGAAGAAAGGTTTGTCTCTAAGGATCCATTCTAGGTTCCTTGGACAACCATTTTTAACACCATCTCTGTAAGCCCTGGAATGATTTCTTGTGCTTGAGGATGACCACTGAACCATCTTAAATGTTGTTTACTCTACCAGCCACCTGAAGCCCACTTCTTCCTGGTCGTCATCTTACCACTGCCATTATCTATAAAAGGACAATATCAGGGACCACTGTTCCTTAGCTGCACAAAATAGTTGCAGAAATCATTCATTTTTCTGCAAAAATGACAAAAAGTCCTTTGTGCAACCATGTCTTCACCTATCTAACCCATGATTCCCCAGGCCTGCCAGTGTCACTCTGCCCCCTTCATCCTGGGATCAAAGGACATCAGTGCGATCTCATCTCTGTGCCTCTACTGCAAATATGCTCATCCCCAGGCACACTCAGCACATGTGGTTCAGAGAGGCTGTAGATTGGTGCATTTCTTACCAGATCGGTGTGTGGCATCTTCTGGTTGCTGGGCCTGCAGGCCAATAGGCCAGTGTTTGTTTTCATGACTGTTCTTTGCGGAGTTGCCCTTCCTTCTCTAACGGTAGTTTTCAGCTGGGGGGTTTGCCCTCCAGGGAACAATTGCCAATGTCTGGAGACATTTCTAATTGGTTGTGGTGAAGGGGGTGGGCTGTACTGGTTTCTAGTGGGTAGAGGTCAGGGATGCTGCTAAACATCCTACAATACCCAGGACAGTTCCCCACACCAATAATTTTTCAGTCCCACATGTCAATAGTGTGGAGGTTAAGAAACCCTGCTCTATCTAGAACATGACTCTGTGACCAAGGGGGCCCTTGGGTCCTCCAAAGCCCTGTAGGATTGCTAGAGCAAACTGCAAGTTCATGAAAAACCCACTTGCTCTTATGTTTCTTTCCACAGCTGAGTTCTGTCCGGGAGGCCCAGTTAAAGCGGCTCAAGGTGACAAGACCCCGAGTGCTGGGGAGCAGGGAGCGGGGCCGGGTGCCGAGGATGGCCAGGCAGCCACCGCCGCCCTGGGTCCATGCAGCCTTCCTCCTCTGCCTCCTCAGTCTTGGCGGAGCCATCGAAATTCCTATGGATCGTGAGTCCTGCCCCATCCTCTTCTCTTTTTCTCCTGATTTTGGGCAGAGCGGTGGGAGGGGAGGGATGGTCAGAGGAAAGTTCAGATCGTTCAAAGAAGGTTGAGGAGAGGGGAAGCAGTGGATTCTGAGATTCAGAGCTGGGTTTCTCTCCAAAGAACTGACACGGGCTCATGTTTGAAAGTTTGAGACTGTATGTTGCAGAGCCAGTTTCTCAGGGCTATGGCTGAGCTGATGCTTGGAGCACCTGGAGCCAGCTGAGTGGGACCAGAGGTGGCGGAGTTTGGGATTCTGAGTGCCACTTGGGTTTTTCCCTCTGCTCACCTCTCCAGGTCCTCTGTGGTCTTGACTTGCCTGGAAAAGCAGTTTCCAGGGTCAAGTATGGTGGAACAGTTCTTACTTGCCTTTCTAATGTCTAATATATTCAAATCCACACCCTTTGGGCCCTCTTGGCTGGAGGAATCAGGAGGACACAGGCCTGGGAAGGGCTGGGAGCAGAATTATCTTTGCAGAAGATATGGCTAAAGGAGACATTAAAATAGAGCCCCATTATCATGCCACATGGGAGAACCAGGCATGGATTCCTTCTCATTGTTTTCAACTTTCCCGCAATAAAATAAAAAGTAAAATCGCTGTCATTCTGTTTCTCATGGAGGGGGCATTATTTGACCATCAGAATCATAAAGTAAGGGGCTTAAAATGCAAATCTAACGGCCATGTCTCCACCAACCATATCTGTTGCTGCATTCATCAATGGTCCATTTATTGGCAGCCAAGCTCCTTGGCCCTGCCGTTAGGTGTGTGCCACCTTTACCACAACTCTGACACTTCTGGCAAACTGTCTTAGCATCCCCAGGCTAAAATGTGAGCACGCCATCTCTGACCCCTGTTCCTTATGTCAAGGAACAGAGGGGACCCACATGACACCAACACTGGCTTGGGCTCTCTCCAGTTAACCGATGTCTGGGGAGGGGGCGGGAGAGTAACACAAACTCCAAGAAGTCCTCCCTGAGCTTTCCAAAGCCAGACCCCTGGTCCTGGAGTTAGCGTGGTTTGGAGAAGAGTTGGAGGTATCTCAGCCCTCCGGGCACCCTACTTCACCAATAATAGCTGCCCCAGAGGAGGGGATACTTCGGATGATAGAACACCAGTAGTAACTCTAAGTCAGACCTGGAGGTAAGATGGGCAAAGCCCCTGCTGCCCTCCCAATACCCCCAGGTATGTGGGCTTGCATGTATGTGAGCGTGTGTATGCATGCCCACACACGTGTGCACGTGCACAGGGAGGGAGGAGAGGAGAGTTGTGAAAGGACCTGTTCCCATGGTAACTGTCTGTGCGGCTGGCTCGAGGAGAGTTTCTCATTAACAGTCCCAGGCAGACAGTCTAATAAGGAGCCTGGTAAGGCCAAGTCCCTGGTGGGAGGGTGTGCAGAGGAAATTGGGTTATCAGGGAAGTGGTGAAGGCTCCTTTCTCTTCTGCCGCTTCTCCTCACTCACTCACCTGCTGCTTTGATCCCCCAGGGTCAGTGGGTGAGGGGTCCCTGCAAGGTGAGCCTATAAATAGATCGCTTTGGTGTCTATCTTAAGAATCCAGAATTCCAAAGCTCTAAGGAAATGGAGACACAGCAGACACCCCAAGGAGTCAGGCTCTCTAAAGCCCCACCTGTAGGGTAGAGCTGAGAGTGTCCTGATCTCCCACCATCTGCCCATTCCAGTGTCCCTGGGATGACCCCCACCCCGTATTGTGTTCCCGGAAACTCAAGCCTTTACTAGCTTAGAGTCACATAGCAAATGGGTGGTGGAATCAAAGAAGAACCCGAGTCTCTTGACCCCCAAATTTGGGACCTGATATGTCCCACCCCCACCTGCCTCCTCTGAGTCCTTCTCCTTAGAAACCACTGGAATCGCAGGTGTCATGCACCAGGGAGAGAGCTAAGTGCTGCGTGTGCCTCATCGCACATGGTTCTGGCAGCTAACCCTCAACACAGGTGTTATCCTTAGCCTGCGGGTTAGAGACAAGGAAGCGACAGAGCCGCGATAGGACCACAGCGCCTCTCTGATGGACAGGGAAGTCCTTCTGCAATGCTATTCCAGGTGCCCTGGCTGTGTCGGGGCAGGAGACCCAGGCTGCCTGGAGCGTGCCCCACACACATGACACCTCCCTGGTTGCTGCAGGTCCAGTGACCCTGGCAACATGTCCAAAAAGAGTCTGCAGAAACTGAACACACTTTCCAAGCTGACCGCCGAAGATGACAGGGGATGAGGGGGCAAGTCCTGGCACTGTATGGCTGAGACCATCCCCTGGGCCTCCTGTACTGCTGGGCTGGAAGGTGGTGGTCATGCACTGCAAGGGCATTGGCATTTCTGGCAATTTCAATGGAAACAAGTTAAAGTATCTGGCCTTCCTCTGCAAGTGGATGAACACCAACCCTTCCCGAGGCCCCCACCATTCCCAGGCCCCCAGCCGCCTTTTTTGACAGACCCTATGGGGCATACTACCCTGCAAGACCAACTGAGGTCAGGCCACCCTGGACCACCTCATGGTGTTTGATGGAATCCCACTGCCCCTGACACGAAAAAGTGGATGGTGGTCCCTGCTGCCCTCAAGGCTGAGCATCTGAAGCCCACGAGAAAGTTTGCCTGCCTAGGGTACCTGTCTCATGAGGTTGGCTGGAAGTACCAGGCAGTGATAGTCACCCTGGAGGAAAAGAAGAGAGAAAAGGCCAAGATCCACTACCAGAAGAAACAGCAGCGGAAACAGGCCCAAAAGAACGTGGAGAAGAAAATCGCAAGTCCACAGAGGTCCTCAAGATCCATGGGCTTCTGGTCTGAGCCCATAAAGACTTTTTATTCCTCAAAAACAAACAAACAGAAAAAAGAAGCTGAATGCAAGACAGCAGGCAAGCCCTTCAGAGAGGCCCCGGCTGCCCTGGGAAGTGGCTGTCCTCAGCGGGTCTCTCCATCTCACTGGGTCCAGCACCACAGACCTCCTATGTGTGCTGAGCTGAGCCCACTCTCCATCCAGACCTGGGCTGAAGGAAGATCAGGCTTTCTTAACGTTCTTGCCCTGCCAGGTGTTCCTTCTACTCGTTTGCCCCTTCAGCGGACATTATCTGTGTCTCGAGGGCAGAGGCACTGCTTCTATTCTGGAGAGGCTGGGCGCCGCAGCCTCCTGGAGCAGAGCCCCAGACCGCTGCACAATCCCTCATTGAAGGCCCAGCCTCCAGCTCCCACTGCTGTACCAGCAGAGTCACACGCACCCCTCCCACCCATCCCCTGCCTCCCTCCTTCCCTCCCTATCCAGCCCCAAGGAGAACAGTATGACCTTTGAAAAAAGCCAAGGGTCGCCTCATCAACCAGGGTGAGTTTGCCAAAAAGTGAGTCTGCTGGCTCTTCTGTCCCTGGCCCTGCATCAGGGGACAGCATTTTCCTCCCAGGAGTGGCAGAAACAATTCCCCCCCACCTCCATCACAAATAACGCTGCAGGATGGCCTCAGCTCACATGTACACTCTCACACATACATGCACATTCACACATACACTCACACCACGCTCACACCTGCTCACTCATGCACACCCACTCACACGCACGCCCTCGCATATCCTCACATGCTCACACTCATGCACACTCACACGTGCCCTCACATACCCATATGTGCTCACACTCCTGCACATTCACTCCCACTCACATACACCTCAGTCACACGCACTCACATGCTCCATCTCCTGAGGGACGGGTGCCAGAGGTCGTAGGTATCAGAGCCAGGGAAAGAAAAGAGGCACATGAGTAAAGAAACCTCGCGGACCGAGCAGGCATCTGCCTCAGTCCCTGCAGAGCTGAGCTGGAAGAGCTGTGGAATTCACTTTCCACTGCTCCATAGAAGGCGAGTGGTGTGACACTGGGTGTGAACTTGGTCACCCTCATCCCTAGACAAGCTGTCCCCACTGTCTTCTCCCTGTCGCAGTTTGTCTTCTGGGTCAATTCTGTCCCTGTAAGAAATTCCTTAGTAGCACAGTGGTGGCTGCAGATGCCATCCCTTTAGTCAAGTAGATTCTCCAGAGGCCCCTGGCCTGATAGTATGGGAGCTGGGGACAGCATCCAACCAGCTCTTGCTGCCCGGAGAGTCTCCAGCACCCACAGTCTCCCCTCTCTCTCACCCTTCTCCAGAATGTCAAGGAGAGCAGAGTCCTGAGGCCCCAGCTGGCTTGCTCACCTCTCTGGCCAAGGATGGATTTGTTTAAACAAAACAAAACAAAACTCTGGACCAGGCACTGGGAGAGCTGGTTCTCATTCTAGCTCTGCAGCAAACTTCCTGTATGATCTTAGCCAAGAGACTCCTTCCTTGGATCTGGAGATTCCCTGGACAATGTCTAGGGCTCTTTCCATTGAGTCAGCCTTTGATTCTATAAGAGAGGCTTGAAGTCTTGAATAGGCAAAGGAGGTCCCTTGTCAGGCTTGCTACCCAGGGTGAGACCCCAAAAATGTCCTGAATGAAGAAGCCAAGGGCCTGGGCTAAGGGCCAAGGGGAGTGGGTCCCAGTGACAGCCCTGCCTCTCCTAAGAATGGCCCCTTCTTCCCGCCCAAGCCAACTGTCATTCATCCTTCTAGAGTTACCTTTCTTGGGGCCCTGGCAAGAATATCATATATGGGTGAAGATGCCACAGAGACGAGCTCCAGGGAGCGTGTGTTCAGAAGCCATAGATTTTTGCTTTCCCCCTGGACTTTTTAGTCCTTTGTCTCCTGCCCGGGCAGCCCTGGGCAAATGGTGAAGCAAATGTCTCTTCAGTCCTCCGGGGGTCACACAAAATAATTATTTTGGGTCTTTTCATGAGTCTTCGTCTCAAGACTTTCCTTCATGCACAGCACGTACAGCAGGGCCCTTGTCCTGCCACACTCTGCCCCTCCTCTGGGGTCTCTCTTCCCTCTCCTGCTGTGGCTCTTCCTGCACCTCTTGTTCTGAGCTTAACTCTGGCCTCTCTAGGCTGCCCTCGCTAAGCCCCCAGAATCCTCGCCACGTCTCACTCAAGTCAGGTAGGAAGGCTTCAAGGTCACCATGACTTTGCCCTGATGCTGGCAGCTCGCAACTCCCCACAGAGAGCCCTCACTCTGAAAAAGTCAGCCTGCAACAACAGTACGATAGTCTGCACCTGCATGAAATGAGAATGTCATGTTACTTTCTGATATAATCATCAGGAAAAGACATTTTAAAGTCACAGCAACACATGTTCTCTTTTCTGCACATTTTAACCAAGACCTTGTCCCCACAAAAAGCACACCATCTAAAACCTTCCTATCTGGAGTGTGGTTCACACACCACCAGCGTGGCGTTGCCCGACCACTTGTCAGAAGGGCAGAGTCCCAGGCCCCACCCCAGCCCAACTGAATCAGAACCTGCATTTTAACCAGCCCCCGGTGATGCATATGCATGTTAAAATTTGAGAAGCCCAGACCTCAGATACATACCCCCACCTGCACAGGAGCACACCTATATGAGCACATGCATACTTCAGGTAGGAGCTGGGGGAGATTTGTGCCACCTGCCTCCTTACGTTCTTTGTGAAAAGCACAGAAAGGAGCCGTAGACTCTGCTTCATCCCTGGAGCCTCCCATTGAGAAGCATGATTTCTATAGGGCAATGTACCATGAAAGGGGCATTTGTCTCTAGAGTCTTCCATAGGATGGCAGAGGAGGAGATGCCAAGGAGAGAAGGTGTTATGGGAGAATTGAGACCTTGGAGTTTTGCCCTGCAGCAGTGGTTCCAATCCACTCCCTTCCTGGCACCTGTCTTGCCCTCAGCCTCTCCTGTTCACTGTCGGCTGAGGAACCCACTTCCCTCAGTGGCATCAGATGGAGGGAAATACCTTCAAGGCCTCTTTCAAGCAGCATTGTCACCTTGGGACATGTGGACTTCCTGGTGACACTGTCCTTTGATCAGAGCCAGTCCTTCTGCCCAACTCTGTGGTTTTGGTCACCCAGGGAAGGCGTCACCTTCTCCATAAGGCACTCTCTGGGTCCGTTCCCCAACCCTGCTTGGTTCTTGCACTGAGCTCTGCAGCCAGGAGGAGACAGCCCTGTGCTCAGCGCCCTCCCCGGGTGCACCCCGCCCACTCCCTGTGTGCTGGGGCGTGAGGACGCCTGGGCGGTTGTGTGCATAACGATGTTCTTCTTTTCTCCCTCTCCAATGCTAACCCGTCGGAACTAACAGCAAGCATTCAGAATGAGCGTAAGTGCCCTGTGTGGCTCTCTGTGCCTGTGCCTCTGGGAGGTGGGAGGGAGGAATGAGGCGTGAGGCAATACCTGGGGATTAGTGGCCTGCTGAGACTTCTGCTGGGGCCTCTTCACACCAGAGCCCTGTAGTGGGGTCTCTTACTGAGCGGGGAGGAAGGAGGCTTGCCTGCAGCACTCTCTTGCTGGGAAAAACAGAGGGGCATGTGGTAAGAAGAGGGTCATTGGATGGAAGCTCATGTGTACCACAGCTGTTTCCCTATCCTCCAGTGGCTGGCACAGGACCCTAGGGTAGACGGCTGGCACTTGGGACCTAGATGGGGAGGATCTGGGAAGTTCTTGGGGACTGAAGGCCCTCTCTGCCCTAGCCTCACCATAGTTTGGCCATTTGTTGAGCCTCCGGGGCTCAGAACCTCCATGACCCCTAAGTTCTGAAAATCTAGCTGCTTTTTCTTCCTTTATTCATTCAACAGACATTTATCAAAAACTATTGTGCACTGTATGGCGTGCTAAGCATTGTAATGTAAGGATGAGTAAACTAAAAACCTGGCCTTCAGTTTCTCCTTAAGATGCTATGGAATTTTTTTTTTTTTAAACGGAGTCTTGCTCTGTTGCCCAGGCTGGAGTGCAGTGGCGCAATCTGGGCTCACTGCAGTCTCAGCCTTGTGGATTCAAGTGATTCTCCTGCCTTAGCCTCCCGAGTAGCTGGGGTTACAGGTGCTCACCACCATGCCCAGCTAATTTTTTTTTTTTTAGTACTTTTAGTAGAGATGGGGTTTTACCATGTTGGCCGGACTGGTCTTAAACTCCCGACCTCAGACAATCCACCCACCTCAGCCTCCCAAAGTGCTGGGATTACAGGTGTGAGCCACCGTGCCTGGCCTATGGGTTTTTGTTTGTTTGTTTGTTTGTTTGAGACAGAGTCTTGCTCTGTTGCCCAGGCTGGAGTCCGCCCCCCGGGTTCATGCCATTCTCCTGCCTCAGCCTCCCGAGTAGCTGGGACTACAGGCACGCTCCACCACACCTGGCTAATTTTTTGTATTTTTTAGTAGAGACGGGGTTTCACTGTGTTAGCCAGGATGGTCTTAATCTCCTGACCTCGTGATCCACCCGGCCTCCCAAAGTGCTGGGATTACAGGCGTGAGCCACCGTGCCCAGCTGCCTATGGGATCTTTTTAAAGGAATTCTTCTTCTGCTTAATATTTGACACTCACCTTCTTTCCTGTGGCACCATTTAAGGAGCTGGGTCTCTAGAATGGGGCCCTGTTCACCACCCCCCCTGCACCCCACCCACTTGCCTGCTTGCATGTATGGCTTCTGAAGCTCTTCATCTCAGCTGTTCCCCAAGCTGGACCCCAGGGAGGTCCCTGCAGCCCTGACCATGCTCCCTGTGCACTGTTGCAGTGACGCAGCCACCGACCATTACCAAGCAGTCAGTGAAGGATCACATCGTGGACCCCCGTGATAACATCCTGATTGAGTGTGAAGCAAAAGGGAACCCTGCCCCCAGGTGAGTGGAGGGGAAAAGAACGCATTGAAACCACCCGCTTGCTTCTGGGCCTGATGATAACTAAGGCAAATGAGGCAGCTAGAAAATTAGACTCATCCATTCCAAAAACTTTCCATTAGGCACCTACTAGGTGGAAGGCACAAGTGAGGTACCAGGAAATTTTGCCTATAAGGAAACTGGAGACCAGAAAACAAGTGGCTTGAGTTCACACCAAAAGCCAGGACTGGATATTCAGTTTTCTGAGTTTCTGTTTAACATTCTTTCCTCCACTCTGCCCCACATTTAGCTTATAGGAAGTTCCTCTTCCAAGCCAACTCAAGTCTTTCATTCTGAGCTTACTTCTACCTGTTTATGTGCTCATTAAGACCAAATAAGATGACAACAGACATGAATTAAAAGCCTGTTGTGTGTGTCCGGGCTCTGGGTTAGGTTCTGTTACTCACATTGTCTTGTTCGACCACCTAACAGTGCTCTGGGGAAGGACAAATGCCCGTATGAAGAGGAGGGGAAACAGAGGTACAGAGGTCCAAGGTTACCCAGCTTGAAAGGGGCAGAGCTCAGATTTAAACTCATGCTTCTGATCCCCCAAGGCCAGATTCATTTCTATCAAATGATAAGCATCGGAGACATGGCAGACGTTATTACCCGCCCCCATCCCCATCCTCAAAGTAGCGTCCACAGACTGAGCCCTTCAGGAGCCTCATGCAAGATTCAGACCCAGATGTGACAGGACCCCGTCTAGAGTGTGTCTGTCAGCAGGAGACATGAGACCAAGCAGAGGCTGCCAGGTATGCAGCAGCTTTATTCTGGCCCCCCGGGTTCACACAAGACAGTCTTGAACCCAGAGCTGTGAGCCTGGGAACCAGCAGGGACTCCCTCACTGGCCGTGTGAGTCACCCTGAAGGGTCAGTCAGGGTAGTGGTAACCTTGCTTGCTTCTGAGGTTTGGTTTTTTCCCCCCGCGGTTCCTTTGCAGGGACAATGATCCTGTGGCACTGAGCAGCCCCTGCTGTTCCAGCTGCTCCTGCTCTCCCTGCTTCTTTTACAAGTTAGATCGTGGGCATCAGAGGATGTGAAGCCCTGGCTGCAGCTCCCAGGACGAGCAGAGGGAGCCATTCTAGTGCTCTTCAGCAGGGGCTCAGTTCTACTAGGCTGCCATTTCTTTAAAAGCTGCCACTCTTGGGCTACAGGGCGTGGTCACTGCTATGTAATCTATACTCACTGAGCAGGGCACAAATAAGCTAAGCCAATTCACTTTGGCTTTAGAATGGATTGTAAAATTAAGGCGGTATGAGGAGCAGGGCCAGCTCCCTGATGTGTTTAGGTTAGGTGGAATATGAATTTAAGTTTGCCTTGCTAGTAGGAGGTTGGAAATGTCCTGGGGTGGAAGAAGCAGCAGACTCTAGATTCTAGAAATGAAAATCTCTCCTCAATGATGTGTTTAACATAACCCCCGAGTGGCTACTTGAGTATCTAACACTTAGAGCCACGAGTCCCAGTCTTAGCTGGGTAGAAATACTAACGCCAGGCCCCTGCCCTGGAGAGTCACCTGAGTGGGACCTGGGACTTTGCTTTTTATTGAGCTCTCCAGATGGTTCTTCTGCTCGGCCAGGCTGGTACCTGTTGGTATAGGGGTGCCACGATGGGGCTGCGAGAGGGAATTTTGGTACTGAGTCAGGAACTAGGGATCTGAGATCTGCCTGGAGCCCAGAGCCCACCCCATTCGTCTTGGTTGCCCCTGCTCCCCACTCTCCACAGCTTCCACTGGACACGAAACAGCAGATTCTTCAACATTGCCAAGGACCCCCGGGTGTCCATGAGGAGGAGGTCTGGGACCCTGGTGATTGACTTCCGCAGTGGCGGGCGGCCAGAGGAATATGAGGGGGAATATCAGTGCTTCGCCCGCAACAAATTTGGCACAGCCCTGTCCAATAGGATCCGCCTGCAGGTGTCTAGTGAGTAGCATGGGGCAGGGCTGAAATGCCCTGCTCCTGGGTAAATGGAGAGTGGGGGATGTGGAAGGCCATTCCAGAAGGGCTGCACTTGCCCTTGGCCCGCAGATGCCTTGGTGTTCTCTATGCATCTTCCCCAGCTCAGAACGATTCCTTGGAAAGGAAGCTCCCAAAGCTTCCTTTTGAAGTTGTTGTCTGCAACAATTTCACTGGCCACTGTGGGCACAGGAGAGGGGAAAGGAGGGGAGCCTTTGAAGATGCCTCCCTTCTCCTGCCTCTCAAGGACAGCCCCTCGAGTAGGCTTACGTGCCCTGTCCCTTTCTCTTGCTCCCTCCTTATCCAGGTGCCCTTTCTGTTTCTCCTCTTTGCATACCTGCCTCTGACCCTGCTCCTTGCCCTGGGCCCAGCCATCACCCTCACTTTGTCCTCTTTGTCCACTTCTCTCCAGAATCTCCTCTGTGGCCGAAGGAAAACCTAGACCCTGTCGTGGTCCAAGAGGGTGCTCCTTTGACGCTCCAGTGCAACCCCCCGCCTGGACTTCCATCCCCGGTCATCTTCTGGATGAGCAGCTGTGAGTCTTGGGGGCCTGGTGTGGTGTTTATGTTTTAACCTTAGGGAGTGGGGTGGGTGTGTTGAATGAGGAAGGGCTTACCCGAGCTAGAAGACCTTGATTTGTGAGAAGCAGATGCAATGTGGCAACCGGGCTGAGAACACAGGCTCTGCAGAGAGAGGCTGCTGGGGCTTGTTTTCTAGCCTGGCTGCTGTGTGATCTTGAGCAAATTGCTTACATCTCTGGGCCTCAGTTTCCTCTTCTGGAAAAAAACAGAGCTAATCATAGTGCTTCTCTAATAGGATTATTATAAGAATAAATGAGTCAATACGTCCAAAGTGCTTAAAACAGGGCCAGACACACAGTATGCACTTGGTAACATGATAATGAAAATGAAGAGTAAGACAGAAGGGATTAGGGGAGAAGATGAGAAATGGTTTTTCCAATTGGCCAATTGAAAGCGGTTGATACCAAACCACCTCTTTCAATTATTGGCCGGTCTGGATTTACTCTGATTCGCTCTTCTGGTAGGAGGAAGGGTGAATGGGGAATTGAAACCTTTCATAAAGAAGTGATGGGGAGATAAGGTATCTGGAGCAGGGACAGAGTAACATCTTTCAGTGATTGTTCTGGCTCAATTTTCGACTGAGGCTCATTCAACCTTTCCGGACCTCAGTTTCTTCCCATGTTTTCAATTTAAATAAAAGGAGAAGCATTAATAAAGGTAAATAGAAAGCTGTTATCTCTCTGTGTGTCTTTCTGGCTTCCTGTCCTCCCTCTTTCTGCCTACCTGTTTGCCCCCTCTCCCCCTCCTTCCATCCCTCCTTTCCCATCTATCCAGCCATCCATCAACCTATATCCCCACCTGCCTACCTGCCAGTCATCCATCCTTCTATCCATCCCTGAATTCTTAGCAGCCTACTTTGAAAAGAGGCTGCCCTGTTGATGAGGCAGCATTGTAATTTGTTTTGCAGGTTGAGGATGGCTTTGTGCTCAATCACTGTCTCTCTCCTCCCCCATCACAGTGCACATTTGTGGGGAAGGCTGCCTGGCCACAGGCTGCTGGCCTCATTTGTTAATTCACAGTTCAACCTCCCCTCTCTCATCTCTCCCACATCACATTCACCACCAAATGGTGTTTACTCTGCCTCCCAAGTAGATCTTAGACCCTTGTCTTCTTTCTGTCCTCACTGACATCCCCCCTGCCCCAGCCACCATCAGTTTTTCCCTGGGTAACAAGAATTATCCATACAGGCCTCCCTGGTCTTTCTAAAAATGTGATAGTTAATTGATAGTTTCATTCATCTGCTTAAGCCCTTCATTGGCTGCTCCATCACCTCAAAATAATGGTCCAGAATCCCTTTCCCTGGCACCCAGTCCCATTCCAGATCTGGCCCTCTGCCTCTGCAGCCCTTCTCCCACCTTATCGCCCTACACCACTGAGTGGACTGTGTACTCTTAGCCTTTAGCACACACTCTTCCAGCTCCTTAGAAACCTCAGCTCCTCTCTCTTTTCTGCTGGTATAAGATATGCAGCCTTTAAGGCCCAGCTTAGGACCCCCTAGAATGCACTGGGTTCGTTTCTGCAGTTCATCCCCTTCTAACTGGTGTGTTCTGCTCACCATGGTGCATTGCAATTGTTTATTTATCTGCTGCCTCTTCTACTAAACTGGAAGTTATTTGAGAGCAGTAACAGTCTTGCTCATCTTTCACCAGCACCTAGCACAGTGCCTGGCACATAGTAGGCCTACAGTAAATCAGGAATGGTTAGAAGAGCTGACCAGCCCATTGTGGGGAAGGTGGCTTCGTTAACCTTGTGCTTTAAGAAATGGTGACTTAAAAAACAATTGTGGGGATAGAAAGGAGATAGCTGTGAGTAGTCAGCTTTAGGTATATTCTAACAAACCTAACAGCCTGGAAACCTGGTCTTTTGGGTTTACATCAGATATAGCACTTGAAAAAAAAAAATATAGTCAACATTTTCAGCCCCTCCAATGATATCATTAATCAGACATTTTCATATTTTAACACCTCTAAAATTGAAAGGCCTCTTAAAACTGATGACGTACATCGTTGATTAGTATATATCTTACAGTTATAATCAGTAGTGCTTTCTTCTTTTTTTTTGTATGAACCTTTTTTTTATTATTACACTTTATGTTCTAGGGTACATGTGCACAGCATGCAGGTTTGTTACATATGTATATATGTGCCATGTTGGTGTACTGCACCCATTAACTCATCATTTACATTAGGTATATCTCCTAATGCTATCCCTCCCCACTCCCCCAACCCCACAATAGGCCCCGGTGTGTGATGTTCCCCTTCCTGTGTCCAAGTGTTCTCATTGTTCAGTTCCCACCTATGAGTGAGAACATGCAGTGTTTGGTTTTCTGTTCTTGCGATAGTTGGCTGAGAATGATGGTTTCCAGC